GCGTGCGGTGTACTTGTGTGTTGCAGTTGAGCATTTGACCGGCATTTACGGGTAATTATCGGCAATAATAGGCGAAATAGATTAGAGAAACATTAAGACTTGTAGTAAATACATTTCGTGTTTACATTTTTTTTTATTGAGACGTTCCAAGTGCCTGTGGTCGGGTCGACTCTAGACTCTACTCTAGTCTTTTGTCAAGTTGAGACGGGATACCAGAGAAGTCTTCCTGACAGGATGTGCTGATCGTAACCGCTGAGCGGGGATCTTGCGCGCAGTTCCGCGGGAAGGCGCAGGTGGCCGCGGGAACGTCGTACGAAAGTATGGAGCGCTGGCAGCTATGGATCCGTGCGCCGAATGCATAGGCCGGCGCACGGATCCATAGCTGCCAGCGAACAGTCGAGAATTTTATCGATGCTATTGCGATACTATATATGCGATTGTCGAGATCAAGGATTCGACCAAACAAACAGTCAGATCAGCGAATCAATCGGATCGAGATCCGTGGATCCGACCAAAGAAACGCGCTCGTTGTAACACCTCTGCTCACGCTGCGCGACCTGCTGACAAAGCTAGCGGCTAACCCCATTGCCACCCCTGTACTGCATTGCATCATCTATACTATGGCGCAGTAACCTATTTCTCGTCGCCACACTATACTTGTGTAATGTAGATTGTACCTAAAGAATTTTGCAGTAGCAAACAGTACTTTGCTCTGTCTCTTTATCGTTTCTTATGTTTAAATGATAATCGCGTCGTGTCGATATTTCGGCACAGTGGCAGTGGCGACGCACGTCGTGTCGATATTTCAGCACAGTGTCACTCGCGACGCACATCGTGTCGATATTTCGTCACAGTGTGACTCGCGACGCACGTCGTCTCGATATTTCAGCACAGTCGCAGTGGCGACGCACGTCGTGTCGATATTTCAGCACAGTCGCAGTGGCGACGCACGTCGTGTCAATATTTCGGCACAGTGGCAGTGGCGACGCGCGTCGTGTGGATATTTCGGCACAGTGGCAGTGGCGACGCGCGTCGTGTGGATATTTCAGCACAGTCGCAGTGGCAACGCACGTCGTGTCGATATTTCAGCACAGTGGCAGTGGCGACGCGCGTCGTGTCGATATTTCGGCACAGTGTCACTCGCGACGGACGTCGTGTCGATACTTCGGCACAGTGTCACTCGTAACGCGCGTCGTGTCGATATTTCGGCACAGTGTCACTCGTAACGCGCGTCGTGTCGATATTTCGGCACAGTGTCACTCGCGTCGCACGTCGTGTGGATATTTCAGCACAGTGTCACTCGCGTCGCACGTCGTGTGGATATTTCAGCACAGTTTTGGACAGTGTCACTCGCGATGCACGTCGGTGTCGATAATTTGGCAGCAGTGTCACTCGGGCAAGACGGCGGCGCGCGTGCTCCGGGTTCTTGCCCCCTGAGACACAGCGCGTCGTGTCCGATATTTCGCAAGCATGTGTGACTCCCGCAGACGCACAGTCGTGTGATATTTCGCAGGCATGTGTTGCTTGTACTGTATCAATGAAAAACTACTGGAGCATTGACATTGAGATTTAGTGAGCTGAAGTGTTATCTCTTCTTAACCATAGAAATAGGTATGGCAACTCCTTGCCCTTGCACAAAACATGTATCATAATGAAAAACAGGGACAGAAGGGAGATTTTGTGCATTTTCGGTGTCAAATTGGGACCGCACTGGTCGCATTTCAGCAACTTTGTTATGATTATCATGCAGACTATACTAGTATTATTTCGGCTAAGATATGTTACACCAACCTTACAGCATGTGTGCGGTAATAACCGTTGTTTTGCTTTTTCGACATGGACAAATAGGCCTACATGGCAATTTTATATACGTACCTCAGTACGTTAAAGGGATATGAGATGAGGTGCAGGAACGGAACCACAGCTAATGAAGTCATCGTATCGTAAGCGTCTGCAGATAGTCTCTAGCCTGAACGCGCAAGCACTGTGAAGAACAAAGCTGTCAATTAACTAATAATAATTATGTTGACTATTGAAATGTTTCTCTCACCGTGAAGAAGTTATCTTTGCTGCTTCTGACCTGCCTTAACATCTTAACAACCGTTACAGTTGTATGCACTAACAGGTGGCATGATATATCGATGATTCAATATGGATGGATATGGATGAAATATCTGCAACCTATATGGCCATCTGCAATACTGCCAGAAATGATACATACTAGCCCAAGTACCAAGTACGTCGACATGCATACCCAGGAACCCAACTGCCTAAATACCCTGAACCCAAGTACTCTAAAATTACCATGGAATACGGCTTAGACTCGGTACCACCTTCACTCTGCAATGCATCCTGCTACAATGAACTCAGTTAGTCTAGCAGTAAACTGTTGACCGGGGAGCAGTCTAGCTTAGCCGCCACCGTGTGAAGAAAAAGACTGCGTGAAAAGTGCCATAACATAGCCCTCGAGCGCCAATCGATGGGACGCCAATATGTCGAAAATAATGTCAGGGCATGAAGACCAAAATGTAACGGCGCTTTATTTACAGGAAAACGA